GAAAACCCTCAAGAAGGGTTTTCGACGAGTTCGGCCTCACAAGCATCCAGCAGAAATTTTGCTCCTGCATGACAATGCACGCCCTTACACAAGTCCGAGAACCCGGGAAGAAATCACCAAATTGGGTTGGACGGTGCTGCCCCATCCACCCTCCGACTCCATCTCTTTGGGCCCCTTAAAGATGCTATCCGCGGAACAAGATTTGAAGATGACGAGAGCGTGATTCAAGCAGTGAGGACATGGCTACGTGCACAGGACAAGAGCTGGTACCGGCAAGGCATGCATGCCCTTGTTCCACGCTGGCGTAAAACCGTACAAGTTGATGGGGACTATGTGGAAAAATAGTATGTGTAAAGGAAACATTGATTTATATTGTCACTAAATTTGAGCCATCTTGAATAAATATGTTCTGAGGAAAAAAATGTGGGGCATTACTTAATGAGCGACCCTCGTATTTTGGTAAAATTTGTTTAAAGTGGTTTGCTTGTCTGTTTTGTTTATAAGAAGACAAGTAGACTGGAATCAATGAATTAATCTTATGATGAAGAGATATGCTTATGTTTTTACACTGCCTGCAGTCTGATAGTGATTTTTAAAAATATGGTCACCAATTAACAGTTGTCTGTTATACAGATAAGATGCACTGCTGTTATGGAACAATTTTACAATACAGTGACCTATTTCTTAATATCAAGTTTGTAATTTATATGCAAAGTATTAATTTTCATTCCCCATAAGCTGAATATGGGGTGTCATTTATGGTTACTAGTGCAGCACAAATGATTGTAACTTAATGACATTTTACATCCCATTGCACAAACACCTACAATTATAACTTATCTTAGGATTATAATATGGTGAGACACAATAACTTCTGAAGACTGTCAAAAATCATATAAAAACTTTCCATCTGAGAAAGAAATTACTTCTTGGCATGAGAACACCTGATGTTCACCTTATTTTATACATTCTGAGTTTCCTATGACTTCCAGGAAATTGTAAGAAGCCCTGTAACTCATAAGATTCTCATTAAGTGAAAACAATTTTCAGAAACATGGAATTTATTCTTCACAAATGAACATACCTTCAAAAACACGTTTTAAATTGTAGTACATGTTGCTCTCTATGAAGCAAAACAATGAACATTCCTTGTGATTCTCCCCCTGACTATGCAATAACCTAATTGTTACACACTGGACCAGACTTCAGACATTACACATTAAACAGTTCTTTTCTTGAGTTTCTTTAAGTTCTAAACTAAATTGAGCAATGTTTCACATTAAGGTGGCAACTGATTTGTAACATTTACTAGTAATGTAACATTTGCGGCGAGCATGTTACATTACACCACAACTGATGAGGCGTATCGAATGCTCGTTTTGAACGCTCGGCTCGACTGTGCTCCATTCATTTCATTCAATATGTTGGACATGGAGGTTGTGTTATCTTTGTTCCATTTAATACGCTACTCTTATCTAAAGAACTCGTGAATGCTCGTTACGACGCCGCTCGACTGACTGACTGACTTGTAATGTAACACTCAAAGGGATTCGGGAAAAAACTGACAACACGATGGAGCACCCGTGAGCGTGAGCGGCTCGCATCGAGCAGCTCAGTTCGCTGTCTTCACTTGTGTAATGCTCGATTTGTAACACGTTACATTACAGGCAAATGTTACAAGTCAGTCGCCACCTTTAGGTTTCATATTTCAATGCATACAATTGTTGATGTGTACACAGTACATATTTTTTATAGTTCCTGGTCTCAAGAAGTATAAAGGCAGATTTTGTGACAGGAAGGCAATATGTGAGAATTACATTTTGTGGACAGATAGGTGCACAGGAGTGGTTCCCCCAACAAGATACTTTTTCAAGAATAAATAGGATTTGAGGTTTCCAGTGGTGAGTCTGAAAATGGCTGTCTTCTGAGTTTTTGCACCATGTAGCCTGGTAAAAGTTTATCAATGTTTCAAGGATCCTTGCAAGGCCTTCTGAAACATCAGTAAACTTCTACCAGACTACAGCACAACCCAGAAGGCAGCCATGTTTTCCAAGAATGTTTGCAAATTGAACATATACCATATGAAAGAAACATATTAATGTAATTTATTAATAAGGAATTAACAGTTTCAAAACTGCTTCCTTAGAAACTAGGAAATCAAAGGAACCTTGAAAGATAAATAACAACTCTGAACATTTAAACTTACAATACTAATACAGCTTGTATGTAACTTGACATTAGAACATTATAGGTTAAGTGGCATGCCAACATCCTCATCAGTTTCAATTCCCACTTCATCTAACAGAGCCCTCTTAGAGTTAGGATAAAATTCTAGAATAGATTCTATAATGTCCATGCAGAGCCGCCTTCTTTTTCTCAGTTCCTTTACATTACTTTCATGATCTTTTTGTTTCTGTTTGCTATCAGATTCTGATATATTCACAGTGTTTTTAGAAATGTTGTCAAACTTGGCCTTTAATACCTCGATTCTACTTTCAAGTAGTTTTTGTTCACATTCAGCTGCATTGGTTGTTGGTGCTGATTGTAGATCACATAAAAGTTTTTCATTACTCTTCAACTCTTGTTCTGCTGAGGCAAGTTTTTGGGAAATTTCATTGAATTTTGAATCCAAATCCTGTAACTCTTGCTCAAAATTTTTAACGTTCGTATCTTCTTGTTTTACCACATAAACTTTCTGTTTTCCATACGCCTTTTCTATAATTGCTCCTGTTTTCGCAAGATGGTCTAGAGCTTTTTGGACAGTAGGTTTCTTAATCTCTTCGTGCAGATTGTTGAAAATGTCATTTGTACTATAGGGGCGATTTTGAACACGTAAGTATTCTAAAACAACTTCTGAAGGGTCCATTTTTGCTTTCAATCAAAATGTTTTCGTCTTTGCTTACGTATTCTTGGAGCTTTTCAAATTTTTGCCCTGCAACAAATCTCTGTTCACCTGTTACGCATACAGGTGTACAACTTTAACGTAATAAAAAGCAATGTAAAACAACTTATATGCCTACTGTCCTGCCATCTGTCCATTAGTGGTGTGTTAGAACGCGGCCCTAAAATAAATAGTTGACTGCAATTACTTCGCATGTGTGTCGTGACATTAAATAATTTTTGAAACCCTCATGTAAAAGAGAAACTCACCCCGACCTTATGGTGAAAGAGAATGTATATGAACAGGTTTAAACAGTCTTGCTTCACTTTTAAAGTAGACCCAAAAGTGTAAATACTTCATCTAGCAACACAAAATCCCCTTCTTTATACGCATTGGATCAAAAAAACTACTTTTGGAAGAAAAGCCAAATATTGGAAATATTTAGAGGTAGCTAAACTGAAACTCGAACAAGAAATATGTTTTCGTCCCATACGTTTATATTCAGCGTTTCTCGCCCTTATTCAACTAAAGCAACAACAAAAAAAGCCAACTAAGTTCGTCAGTGCAAGACGCTTTCCTTTACTCTCGGAAACCACTCCCGCGTACAAGACGATTCACAGAAACTGAACAAGAGTGCTTTAAAATCTATATCTGCGCATATGCTTACGCTGATGGGTTTGTTGTCCGTGGCATGTTCAGAGCAATGGCTGTTGATGCTACTTCGAGGGGGCGCCCTAGAGGCAATCTGTCCTTTGTTAAAGAACTCTGGTTAGATGGAAGTCTGGGAGTTGAACCCAGAATGGTCAGGATTGCTTTAATTGAAAGCCTCTGCGACATTGGTGTCAGATGGAATGCCTCCACGACTGGAGACAGGCTTACCCTACCTCGTTTGAACTGTACCCTGAAATTTGCCATACAAATGAGGAAAAGTACAGAAAAACCTCAGTCTGTTGGACACTAACAGTTGCATCAACACAAATGCTCTCCACTAAGCCGATCTATGGGGTCCGCAGCATCAGCTAACTTTTGAATCAAAATTCTCAGTCAGTGCTCTGTCAGTCATTCATTTACTCACCAATCACAGCGACGGGTTCTAGAGGCCTATAAGGATGGTCCCCTAATGTCGGTGGCGCTAGGTCATGTGACGAAATTGAGTTCACTGTCCTAGCTTTGACGTCTGCGAGTAAGGGTACTGCGCCCCAAAAGAGCCTATAAAAATGCGCTCTGTATATATGCAATGTAACTACGGCTACGCAATTAAGAGCGCTGCGGGACATCTAGCCATGAGAGATATGTCAGCCATCAGCATCAGACTAAGTGCTGCAACTGTAGAAGAAATCACAGAATCAGACTACAAACTGTCGTAGTTGGAGTAAATGAAAAGGGGCAAGTAGCTGCTATAAGAGGAGCGCGGCAGAATAAATGGTGCCAACCCGCACTTAGCTGTACCAAAAGTGGCTTCATCTTGGCCACTGATAACGCTAATGGTCTCGACTCTATGTGACGCTGTATCCGTGATTTTATCGCTGTTATAATATTTGGAAAAGGATGCATAATATTATCTTTTTTATCTGTGCTTGACGTCGAGATCTTCATCATCGACAAATTTATCTTCGAGTCCTTTCCGCCACAATACTATATTACTAATCTTGTACCGAACGACATCGTTTAAGTTACAGTTTAGTGATTGGATTGCCAATTTTCCACCTCAATCATATTTTTCGTTCTTCGTATAATTTTAGTTCATATTCGATAGTTCGTAATCGATTTCCTATTCGTAGCATTGATTGTTTATTTCGTATGCCGTTGTTGCGTGTCTCACACTGGTTGTTTTTTTTAAATGTTGACAAGTGCATATAAATTTGCTGAACAAATCGACGTTTTACGTTGTGTTTATAACACGATAGCATTCATATTCGACTTCACGTGTTTGTGAAAATGTCGAATTTTGAACTGCAAGGAACAAGACTTAGTGGTAACTTAATTTATATCTTTTCCTGCCTGTACTTGGATGGTTTACAACTACAGTTTTAATTTGATATGTGTTATTGTATTATATAAATAATAAAAATAAAAATATGCATGAACCAATTATAAATACATGTGTGATCAACATGGACAATATCAGACAAGTGTTCTTAAATGTACAGCAATGTACAGGTATATGACTTGCCTTGTTTACCAGAACGTTAACCTGTCGGTTTTCGGATTGGTCCGCATTTATATGTTTTAATTGTCATTAAAGAAAATATATATTTAGGCAATTGGTAAAATGCTAATTCTCTTAAAAGAATTTTCCACATGACTTGCTGCTTTGAGCAGCTGCCATGATACTGATTGTTTTCCTTAGCAAGAAGGAAACTTTATTACTGGATTCCCCAAAGATTGTGCCATACATTATGACTGTGAAAGTGTGTGAAGTACATTGTGTTAAGATCAGATCTTAGAGAGGATGGAAAGGCACTTTGCTAGTCAGATTAGTTAACCAATTCCAGAACAACTAGCATGCCGTTCTTTAATATTATTTTTACTTCAGACATTGTTATTTTGCTTTCATTTGGCTTCATATTAAAAGAATGTGTTCCATTTCTTGACAAGCTGATAACAAATTAATCTAATGCATGGTGGCCATTGTGAGAAATTTTCCATACAAAACATTCTATATTAATTTTGTCCCATTCCTTATTTTACTTGACCTCAGTGTGAATCCTCTCTTAATGTTTTGGCTTTTCAACACTTGTGACTATCCCACAAACTCCTTTGTAAAATAAAATTAACATGACATCACATCAGAAGATGAAGTTGTCTCAGAGGCTGAAGTAAATACCATGCCATGGAGTGAAGGGAGTGGGTGAAAAGCTTCACTCATTCTTGTCCTCAGCACTAAATGGAGATAAGCAGTCAAGTTCACATACTGGCCACTTCAT